AACTATAAGCCGCATGGTTCAAAGTTCAGGAAAAAATTAGCTGCTTATAGTCCGAAAAATACAGTAATATCGTATTGTGATAAAGCTGGTGATTTACCACCCTACTAAATAGCTTGTCTTTTTTTTTTTACTTTCTTTCTTTGACTATTCGTAATGTGACGAGTCAACAGCGGGAAGAATGTGTGCACAGTTTGGGCCTGTGGGACAGATGTGCATCGCACTCCTGTGTCACATTGTGTTGGTCAGTTGATGTTTTTGTGTGCCACGCACATCACGCCCATGTGGCCTGTATTTGTGTGGGTCAGGAAGATMGGTCTGTGTGTACCCTCCAATAAAATCCTGCAGGTGCCCCTGTGTAGAGGTGTTATCTGGACACTTTTATGTTCACGTGCATCAGGTCAGTTTGAGTATTTATGCTGTATTCATATAAAGTATGTTTGTTTATTTATTCATTAAAAACAAAAACAAACTGTACACACAACACAAGAAAAAATAAATAAAATGAAAGGCAGCAGAAAGAAGAAAAATATCTTATAATATCTGCCCCTCTCAAACTCATTTATTAAACATAAACATGGATCTGGCATCTTTACCATCAGATTATTCCATAATCTCATTCACTGGATTGAAATACATCGTTCCTTCAAACTGGTTCTAAATTTAAATTTCACAAATATTTGTATTGATGTTGAATTATTTGCTCAACTCATATTGACTGCTACTTAAAATATTTTGTCTATTGATAAATTGATCTAATCTAGTCACTTTTTTAATTTTTGAAAACTGTGACAACAATTATATCGGTCTTTAGTTGTTGAACACACATATCTCACCACTCCTAAAGACAGGAATTACCTTGGCAGTTATCATATTGTCTGGAAATWTCCCAGTTGAAAATGATAAATTACATATCTTTACATCAGAGATTCTTAACCTGTGGGCTGTGAGCGCCACCAAGAACAACAGTTTTTAACTTTGGGCCTCAGAGGGCCGTGGGACCGCACTGATTTTGAATAAGGTGCAATACACTTTCTCATCACTAGTAGTGGTAGTGCACCACTCAGATGTTTAACAACTTTTTTAATATGTAGAAGAAGAAACTTAGAAACCTGCTGAGAATGGAAACGTATTTTTCACTAATATGAAGTGCAGCCTCTGGTTCTACCGTGCAATATTTTAAAAGTTCAAAACATGATCAAATACAGTTGCAGATACAAC